CAACCATATTATTATTATTTTTTTAAATACACACACAAAAAAAAAAATAAAAATTATAATTTATTATGTTGACTAGTTTATTTCTTTTCCCCCCTTCTAAAAGTGAAAGATGAAAAAAATTCTATAAATTTACAAAAGCATAATGTATTTTATACATAAGGAATCTTACAAAATATGTAATGTTTTATCTACATATCATTTTAAACAAATTTAGGAAAATAATAAATCTATTATGATAAAATTAAAAGTTAATCAATGATGAAAGAATTTATATAGTGTAATAAAACTTAAATCATCACAGAGTATAAACTAAACTGATGTTCCAACAATATTTTTAAATGTTTAAGAGATTCACATGACGTAAATAAATAGTTAACATTTTTTACCATCAAACCACATTTGATATTTTTCATAAATTTAAATTAATCTTTATGATCTAAAAAGATAGTATACTTAACATAGCTGTACCACTATTTATTTTTCATTAGATAGATTTAAAAAATTATTATTGTCTGGTATTTTCATTTACCTATAAAAAATTTCCATTATTATTTCCAATAATAAAAACATCATATGCAATTAAATAACATCTTTAGTTTTAGTTAGGTATTCTATTAAACATTAAATTAAAAATTGTATTTGTAGTTTTTCCCTCATTTTATTATTTTAAATTAAAACAGGGATGACTATCAGCAGAAGACATCAAACCTGCAAAATCTATATGATTGGCCAATGGCAAAAAAATGACCATCACTGGACCAATTACCACTTTGTTTTATTGGTGGCAATTAGATGCTTCAAAATACAGTGGGTGATCAGTTAACAAACATAATCTGTTCCAAGACTTTGTTCACTATCCGAATTGTTCATTAACAGATTATCTATTTACCATAGGTTTTAATGGGAATTTAATTAATTCGTTCTGAAGACCCCCAAAATAAAAATATATACTTTCTTACTATGCTTATTTATATGTAACAATAAAAATACATACACACACAGTCTTGCATTTTTATTAGTCATGTTTTTCCGTTTGAGAGGGTTAAAGAATCTGTCTAACGTCGATTGCTTTTCTCTCTTCTTCAGGGTTTTTCATAAGTAATTAATAGCATTGCAATTGTAGATATCCCCAAGCCTCAACCTGGTTTGGATGCCATTCTAAGACATCCTCCCACTTCTTCAAAGGATCTTTAATAACAGATATCGGCATTAATCCTCTTTTTCAAAAAAAAAAAGAAAAAAAACATATCTCACCGAGTTTCTTGGTGTTCTTCATTCAAGCGTTCTTGGCGTTCTTCTGTCGTCAGATCCATTTCAGGTTCCATTATGAACTTTTCAATATTCTTTATTTCTCAGACATGATTTTTGTTACTCCTTTAGTTGTTTGAGTCTTCTTGATTATACAGTATTTTTCTTAAATAAGATTGAACTGCGGCCTACTGTAGACCTGTTCACACCATATTACCCAGCAACATTAGGCATCTTCTGCCTACTCTCTACCTTTCTATTATACTCTCACCTTTCGAAAAGAAAAACAGACGCAAAACTTAACAAGTACCTACCCAACAGTCTCGCAAATACATATAAGAATTGTTTTGTCAGAAAAATAAAAGGCTGGAATTACAAGGGAGAGTTTCAAAGTTCAGAGGAATACTATCTGATCGGTAGCATCGATGTCCGAAAAGTTTCGAATTGTTGCCCGAAGACAAGGGAAAACCAATCGGTATTCATTATTTTACGTCGCTTCTTCTTGTGTTTGTTCTGTGGAGTGTTCATAATCCGATCATGTGTTCATTGTCCGAACATAAAAATCTTTCGCGAAAGTGTTCGTTATCCGATCTGTTCGTTAACTGATCACCCACTGTACTTGTTGGTTTGCTTTCCTATGGCAACAAGTAGTTTGATTTAAATACCTGTATAACCTTAACATTCCACAGCATAACAATGTTCTTTCAAATGAAAAAAGTGAAATGACAAGTATTTTGAATTATCAATTTGCACATTTTGAAATCTCTTAATCTACATTAACAAATATTGAATTAGGATTGTTGTTTCTACATTGTTTACAGATTATTATTTTAACATTAAAACAGAGAAATTGATTCACATAATAATTACTTAATTAAAATAATATAATGTATTTCCTTGATTAAATCCCTGGGGATTTATTTAAATCTGGGCTCTTCAAGGCCAGAATTGCAAAGAGAGATGAATGGATAAAAATTGAAGGAAATATCTGTATTATCTGTACATTTTCTGAATGATTGAAATCACTTATTGATTGTATTTATGGATTACAGCTATAATATTTGAAATAATTACTGTTTTTATAGTTAACCTGATTTAGTTGTTACATTATCATTTTTGATGTTCTTGTCAGAATTAAGATCTTGACTACCATCTTCTAGTTTAAACTCGCCTTCTCCAATTTGAGTTTTCCTAATTAACCTTCAACTGATTATCTCTCAACTTAAGAATTTAACTGCAGTTTCCACATTCCACAACATTTATAATTTTATTTCAAAATTATTCCCTTAAAACTTGGAATAAAAGTGCTGTCTGACTCTAGACAATTTAAAGAGGTAAAGTTTTAGTTAAATTTTACACCTGTCATTCTAAACTATAAGGCTATAAGGACTGCATAATTGAAAAGTGGGCATGTGTCAGATTTCATTATGCAAAGTAGCAATTGGTAATGGGCAGAAAAGCTCAACATAGGTGAAGTGTGGGCTGCATTAAGTATTGGCAAGAATAGATTTTATCTCCAGTAATTGGCAGAGCAATGCTAAGTTAGTTGACAATGGAAGCATCCAGAATCAAACAATGGGCAGTAGTACAATTTTTAGTGGCTGAAGATAATAGGAATGCCAACATCTGTAGACAAATAATACATGTTTATAGTGATTATTATTTAGGACAAACATTAGCGAATAATTGGTGCAAAAGTTAGAGAAGGCTGCAAGTCAATTCAGGATAAACCAAGACCAGGTCAGTCACAAACCGTAATCTCTGCTGCAGAAGTGACAGATAAGTTACAACTCACACTATGACTTTCACATTTTTGGATCTCTCGAGAAAGCTTTGCAAGGGCAAAGATTCATGTTAGATGATGAGGTGAAGAATAGAGTTGAAAACTTTGTTTATCAGCAGCCACCAGAATTCTATGTGAGGGCATCAATCTGCTTGAAAGATACTGGGATCTTTGCCCAACCAAACATGGAGATTTCTTTTAGATTCACAATAAATGTTTGCCAGTTCTGACATGTGTCACATTTCATTGGGCAACCCTTATACATTACCTATATAATGCAGTACAGTTGTCCCTTGATAATCCGACAGGTATGGGACCAAAGGTGTGTCGGATTACCAAAAGTGTCCGGATTACCGAAAATAATTACATATTTCGCATTGTTTTGCTAGCAGTAACTTACAATATTCTCTACTCCAACTATTTGAACAGAACTGCTCACATAAAACACACGAAATGCGTGTCATCGAGTAAGAATTGGATGGGGAAATTCACATCGCGACATGCTTCTGTGCAAGCAGACACATAACGGGGACGGGTACCTTGATGGGAGGTGCATCGGACTACTGAGCATGTCAGATTAAAAAACATCGGACTATCGAGGGACAACTGTACTTCAAACTGGAAAACATGTTGAAGTTTAATTTAGACTGGAATTTAATCAAGGAAATATGAGTAAAACCTTAAATTTATCAATAATTTAGATTGTATATTCTGTACATTTATAATCATTGCATTTCTATTGCAAATTAAAATATTTTCTGTAAAAAAAAAAAATTAATTTATTGCTATTCCTTTGGATTTTACCAACTCAGAGAATATTGCCATTTTTTTGAGATTTTTAAACTATATTTCCATTACTAATAAATATTAATAAATATATTAAAATAGAAAAAGATAAGATTTATTATATACTGGCAGGTAAGCTCAGCATTGCCTGGGCAAAAAATAACAACAAACATTAATTTTATTTTTTTATTATTCCATACTTCTAACCTTTATTATATTATAGTATTTAATTTATATAATTACAATGGTTATCTTACGCAAGGGTTTATCACACCAAATCCCCAATCTAATGCATTTTAAAAATTCTTTAAATTAGACTTTTCACAGGGTAACACTTTCAATTCCATGCAGGCAAGTGCTATGTGCTACCTGCTGCAGTAATGATATCATGTCTATTCACACTATAACATTGTAGCAGTAATTAAGTGAATATAATATATATTTTTTAAAATTATATCCATTTAAAAAATTATACTTAGTTTATTTTCTTACGTTTTTTGCCAATAGCACTATGGCACTGTGTGTAAACCCAATAAATTTAATGTAGACAGAAATTAATTGATATATAGAAATCCAATCAATATTTTAGGAGTGATATTTATGATATTATCTAAGTTAGAAGTATGTTAACATAATTGCCAAGTTTCGTAGTCATTGGTCAAACAGCCTAAGTGTGCATAGCAAACAAACATTCTCATTTATATATAATATAAAGAGAAAAATATATTTAAATATTGTGGCTAGGAGTAATTGATTACAAAAAGGAACATGTTCCAATACTTACACGTCTAAAATCTTCTTCAAATTTGTAAGCCCCACCTCCTGTGGCACAAACTGTACTAGCCAAGGTTGCCATTCCTTTGGATTTTGCCAACTCGAGGAATGTTGCCATTTGGCTTGTTGGAAATCTAATAAAATGGAGAGTGCCTGTTCTACCACCTATTTTCACATTATCCATCTAAGAATGAATAAAAACTGATAAAACCATAAAAAATTCAATTCAGAACATGTAAATCTTATTTAATTGATTATCAAAATTGCATCATCATCAAACCAAACAAGTTATATACTTAATCAAGTCAAAACTTAAACAAATCATACAAAAATTATAATAAAACAAATCTTAGCTACCAAAATTCAGTATTACAATTAATATCTTAAATTATCAATTTTAATGTTATATAAATAAAAAATGTTCAGTCATTTTTTTAATCTTGCAAACTTTAGACATTTCAATAAAAACTGGAACTGAAAAATCAATATTAAACAGAATCCAATGTCCTAAAAAAATACATTTGACTCACAAGTCAAAAATATTTTTTCTGTCTGAATTTTTTTCTTTGAATACTTTATACAACATACAGTAGGATCTAGTTTTACATACGATTAATATACATGATTTGGTTTTTGTGCATGGTAAAACTTGGCTAAACTACTTTTGAGGCCACTGAAAAGTCATGTAAACTGTACTTCTCCATCTTATGACATTCTGTACAGAGAAAACTACTAAATGTTACTCACTGTAGTGAATACCCTGATGTGCATGTATTTTTCTCAAGAAGTTTCTCAATATGTTATAATAAAATTTCTCTCTTCATTTTCAGAAATGTCAGATTTGAGACTAAGATTTAAAATGTTATTCATTATTATAAAGACAAGTAAAACATTTTAACATTTTATTGTTAATTGTAAATAATCTTACAATAGAGCATTGATTATCCGACTCAATTGGGGACTGGGGTTGATCGAATAACTGAAAAAATGGATAATTGAAAAATATGAAAAAATACATTATTAGTATAGTATATATTAGTATATCCCATGTAATTAGTATATTAGTATATCACTATTAACCTACTTCACATTGAATTTTCATCGATGTTAATCCTAACAAAATTTTTTTAAAATAATAATTGTCGCTATTGTATCGTTAAAAATTATTTTTAAATTATTTTATTGTTCGCAAAACTAACCACAACTCATAATTAGAAAATTAAGCCTCGTTTAAATACTGGCCTCACTTTCATGGTCGAGCCATGTTGCCAGCTAAAACATACAAAAATTTAACAAAATAATATTAAAGTAGCCAAAACATAGCCAAATACTGTAGCGCCACATCACTAGTGGACATTTGAATTTGCTGACTAGAACACGGTCGGTTAACTGACGTGACGGTTAACCGACGGTTGATTGGGGGTCGGATAATCGACGCTCTACTGTATAAGTGTCTAGCCAATCATCTGAGATTACTTGGGATGGAGCAAAAATTTATGCAGGTGCATGTAAAATTTCATTTTACATGCACCTGCATAACATCTGTTTTCATGGAACCTGTGAATTACAATATGATCTTGTTTTATTTCAGAGTTGATAAACAGATCAACTCTGAAATAAAATTTTAAGCAATATTTAAAGTGTAAATTCTATTTTAGTTGATTATATTTATGGATATAAATCAACAAATTAATAATAATAACAAAGTTAAAAAACTTTGCTATTATATAAATATATAATCTTTATATTATTTTCTAAACTTTTTCTGAATAAAATATAAATGCATCAAGACAATGAATTCATAAGAAGTATTTACACTAATAATAAAAATATTTATCTAAAGTGCTTTATAAATTTCTGTTTCATTTTCTTGTATCTTTTAAGTTCATATGTATATATATATATAAAAAAAAGAAATTCATCAAAATTAATGATGATATATTGTAAGTATATACTGCAAAGCTAGTATTAGCAAAATTGATATAACTTTTATTACCTGTAAATGAATATCTCTCTTCCCAGCAGTACCATAAGCAGAATTACATTTTAAATAATGTCTAATTTTTCTAATTGTTTCCACTTCACTTTCTGCTTCATCTGGAGTAGAATCAGTTGGTTCAAAATAGACAAGTTTTGCCAAAGTACCACCAATATCCATACCAAACCAAGGCATTGCTGTGAATTTTATATAATATATATATATATAATGTAACAGATAAATTAAATTTTTCTTAAGGAAGAATAATTATCACTGATAATTAAATTTTAAATAAATATATAAAAACAAACATTCTTCTATATTTGCATATTCAACAAATTCTGATAACTTATAGTTTAGAGATATATGATAAATTTTCAGGAAAATATATACATACAAGAATAAAAATAATAAAATTTAAAATTGATATTTCAATATATAATTATAATCTATTTCAAAACTAAAAATATAATGAATTTTGCTTACGTGGTGTAGTAACTCCGTTAACATAATCTAGCATGCCATTAACAGTACTCATAATTAATTCTTCAGAATTGTATGGAACAAAAAAATAATCTCTTAAAAAAAAATCACAGTTTGTAATGTATTCTGAAAAATTCATATAGTTAAGTTAGAGAGCGCTTCGAGCGCAAAACAAGAAACGAGATGGCCATGTGTAGGATAGTAAATACTAATTTGAAATTATTGTCCTCATGTATAAAAAAGTTTTACTTTCAACCAGGTAAAAAATAAACAGTTAAAAATTAGATTGACAATATTTGAATTATATTTTGGTATTATTTTATTATTAAAGAATTAAATGTTTAAAATAAGTTTTAACTTTATATCCATTGAAAGAAGTAACTTAAATTTAAAAATTGCTTATTTTATATTGTAGGCCAGAGAATCAGTAACATTTACATTTGTACAGGTTAAAAAAAAAATACATTTGTTTTCTTTTATATACTGTATATGTATATTTATATATATTTGTGTGTGTGTATATATATATATTTACACACACAATAATAATGCAATAAATGCAATATTCAAATAAAAACAAATCTTAATTAATTTGCTAATTTTCCAGGATAGTTTTGCAATGGATGGAGNTAAATGATTACAACAACACATCAATTTCCACTAAAGTTGGTTTGATATATATGATATATCTTTGTTATATATTTCATTAAAGTAAGATTTAATGATTTAATAATTATCTCAATTAACTAATTGTTAGAGATATGAGGCTTATCAAACTGCAATGGAACCAAGTAATCAAGAAATTAAGACTTTTAAGTCTTAATTTCTCAATGTGATCTCAATAATTAAATTATTTTTTAGAGGCAAAAAGCTTACAACTATAAAATTTGATGAACTTGTTTTTGGACATTGAATTATAAATAAAAGAAATAAAACAAATAAAATTCAAGTATTTTCTTTGATTTCAATTGTAATAACTGTATTTCTGAAAATGTTAAAATTAAACACATTTAAAAAGTTCATACAATGTAAAAGACATTATATACATCTAAAATGAAACTTGAATTTTCTGACTATTAAAATATAAAATAAATAAATGATGACAATGAAATAAATAAAGGATAAAATAATAAAGAACAATTTGGGAATAATCAAGTAGAAAGAAATAGATAATAGTATAATAATAATAAATTACTATTTTATATACTAATAGTCAGAGTATCTAACCATTCATATATTTGTGCCTATCTCTGTCTTTCTTTCACATCGTTTGCATTCTTTTAATATGTCCATTAATTTTAAATGCCATTTAATGATTATATTTTCTGAAGATTTGAAATTAAAATCATTGAAAGTATTTAGATTTTATTTGTTAGATACCATATGTAAGTATAAATAAAAAAAGTAAGAAAATTCATATTATATATAAGTTGATTATTACATTATGCAGGTACTTTTGTTGGCAGTCACATAATTCACAAATTTCAATAAGAAGAGTAATTCATTACGTTAAATTTTAAAAGAGAGACAGACAACTAAGTGTTATAATAATGTTAAACACATCTTACTTATTTTGATTTTAGGTTATATAAAGGTATAATTTTTTAAAGGGTTTGCATCATAATCCCAAAAGACAATCCAGAATGTTGAAATCCCAAAAAGCTAAAATCCCAATTCCTCATGAAAAATTTGTGGTCAGTATATGAGTGCATGCAGAATGGATTTCTGCATACCCAAAAAAAGCATGAAAGCATGACACAGAAGATAGGAAAATTTAGTAGGAATTGCTCACTTTGGCATACAGTGTATCGGATCATTGAAGAATTTCAAAAAGTGCATCACATAGAAAACGAATAGGAGAGTATTCTCTGATAAAAATTATGCCCTAAAAAGATAAACATATACTCATTGAAAAACAAGACTTCAAAATATAGTTAATGATCGTGAAAGTTGGCCAGCTCTTATAAACTACCTCCATACAATTGCCCATAATCTTTCCAAGTAATATGCTCTTTTGTATATTGATATTCATTTCTTCTTCCCCACTATTTAAAATTTTCAGCATTAATTTTCATAATTTGCAATTCTATATATTTGATTTAGCTACTATTATTTAATAATATTCAATGTGTATTGTGCACAATGCATACATATTGACTATTACTGTTATTAAATATTTTATTGTATAAAAGGGGATATGAAGTGATCTCACATGTTTATGTTTCTCAAATAAATTTCATTTAAAAATGTAAATAAATGTCCTTTAAACATTTATTATTTTTTTTTCCCAGGATTATATTTTTGCAATTTTAATCTTTCAGGATTTTGATCTTTTGGGATTTCACATTTGGGATTATGGTGTTTGAAATTGTGTCTTTCAGGATTATGATTGGTACTGAATTTTAAAGTACTTCCTAAATATAACTTGTTTAAATAGGCATCTATGTATAATTATTATATAAAATGTGATTGAAGATGACTACATACACAGCAATTACTCCTAAAACTTCAAAGGTAAGATTATTACAATAAATAAGGTATTTAAATTTAAACAAGTCACCTATAACTTTTTATAAATTCAAGTCAAACATTTGGTGAGTTTGCAGTAAGATTTTCTGCAATTGTAGATGACATCATTCATCTGCAATTGCATTAACTAGGAAAGGTATATAAATTAAGCAACCATACTTTACAGTATGGTTGCTTAAATATATACTGTATAGTGCATGTGACTAATAATGAAAATCCTGTATCACTAGAATTCCTTATTTTAATTAAGAATAATAAACTTAAAAAATATATCAGAAAAGATTTTATTCAAATAATTACATTTTTAGTCTGCTAAAATTTCTGAGATTTTAAAAAAATTACTAATTTTGATACATTTTGATCCATGGCAGATTTATCCACAATTAATAAATATCATTTTTGCAAAATCTAATAAAAAAAAATTACAAACATTATCAAGATAGTACAATTTACCTTACTTTTGGGAACTATCAATAAAAAAAATTTTTATTGTATTTTTCATTATCGTATTTTTTTGAATTTAAATAAGAAAGTTTCAAAAACATCATTTTAGTGTTTGTCATTAATGTTTTTAGAAAAATTTATTCCATTAGATATTATACCTAAATACAACAATTTATTTGTCATTAAACTATGTTTTTAACTCTGATTTTTTTTTTTAGAACAACATTCTGATTTGTACTGTACATTTAAAGCAAAAAACAAACAGCTTAAACTATATATATATAAACATTACTAATAATTTTATAAATCATTAATCTAAAATTAGAAATGGTATTAAATCGTAGATGGTAATCTCTCTTGAATCTTGCATGATCTGTTTCTATTAAACTATATTCAAGGATGTACTTTGTTTTTTATCAAATAAAAAAAAATTCTTTAAAATGGCAATACATGATTCCTATACAATTCTGATATAAAGTTTAAAACCAGAAGTTTTCCTAATGTTAACTTTGCATCTTCTTAACTAATGTCTTCAGCTAAGTATTATCTCAGAAAGCTTGTTAACGCACAAGGCCTCTTGATAATCTATATAAGGAGAGAATTTACTTCATTTAGATGAAACTTTTAATAAGTAGGCCTACAGTATTTTTGTGTGTTCAGTGTCTATTAATCCTACCATATCATTATTTAAAAATATGAATTAGTCTTATGTTATCATAAATCTGTCTACATATATTGAGTTATTTTGGTTACCTTTCAGGTATGCACATGTGCAAATGAGCCTTATTGATGATAAAATGTCTAAAAGAAAGTTGCAATTGTTACAAAATATATCCATGTCATGGAACCATTAAAAAGCTTATTACTACTCCAATGTACAGTACAATATAAACTATCTTAAAACTTGGACCCTTTACTCCTTCCTGTAGGTTTCATCTTCCCAACAAACTCCCACGCCTTTTGACCAATATGGATCAAATTCTGCATAGTTACTCTCTGATACCCTAAGGGAAACACAGACTACTATAAAACTCAGAACCCTCTCTCCTCATCTCTGAAGTCATCCTCCTAACCCCAACTCCCAAATCTTGTGAGTGATTTGGACAAATTTTGCATAGTAAGTCTACAATCCTCCTAAAAAATATACACTAATTTAAAACTCAGACCCATAATTGTTAATCTATAATTAGTTCTATATACATCTGCAGATATAAAATCTTATAATGCTCTGGATTTTATCAATAGTATCACTTCTTTTTTAAGCAAAGAATTAGTTGCTTAATAAAGAAAAGACATCATTAAATTCTTGAATACAGTCTAATAATAATATTCATTATATTGTTTTAATAAAAGAAAGAAGTAAAATGGAAATTTACATTAAAAACTCCATGCTTTATTATGTGTAAACTGACTTTGAAGATAGTTAATCATTAAAAACATTAAAAAGAACATTACTAAATATTACATAACTGATATGTTCTAATAATTACAAAAAAAAAAAAAATACATATTTTCTCATTCATCAAAAATAATTTACAAAACTTATAAGTTTATCATCATGTAGATCAGTGATTCTCAACTACTGTGCCATGGCACTTTAATGTGCCGTGAAATTTTTGAAGAGTGCCACCATTGTGAATATCCATACATAAGCAAAGTCAGACTAGTTGTTTAATTAGTTCTACCTTCCTAGAGCGCATTTGGAAATTGTAACCGGTGTTATCAGTAACTGCAGATAGTTACCAAGGCATTTAGAAAATGTGACCTAAATAACCATGTTTAAAAATCACTGTTGACATTACCAGTTGTCCTGCAGTACTTATCAAAGTAACTGTATGTGCCGCCAAATTTTTAAATTATTAAAAGTGTACCATGACAAAAAAAAAAAAAATTGAGAATCACTGATCTAGATTAATATGTTTAAGTAAAAACAACAGATTTTTAAAATCTCAACTGAATAAAAAGTAAGAATGTAATATTATGATAAACACTAAACAGACAATAGACAGACTTCATGGAAAAAATATTTTGTAAATCAATTAAAATTTTTAAACAGAACTCATTTGTTGAAATGTAATAACATAACAGATTTGAGAAATCTCAATGATAGATTTTTCATGTATTGTTTTTGATGTTTATTGATCTTAATAACA